GAGAGTTTGACGGCTATTTTAAAATAATACAGTTGCTTGATAATGCCAAAGGAAAAGACCGCAACGATGCAATTAGGGTAGATTTAGGAAAATATTACGGCAACGTGATTTATTACAGATACATAGCAAAGCAAGCACAAGTAGAAGGGGCAAGAAGCAAGTCGCAAGCAAAGCCTCCCAGTCGTGCAAGCGGTTCCAGTGGCTATCCATAAATATTAATATCTAAATACAATTAATAATGATTATATTAACTAAAAATATACTGAAAAGAAAGAAGCAGAAGTTCAATGATAATTATGATCACGACGACAGTTTTTCAATACATAACCTAGCAAAACCAAACACACCAATAACAACACAACCACCGAAAATGATGAAAAAAGGCATACCGAGAGAATTTATTGACATTGCAACCAATACAGATACAATCGCCACAGAAACCAGAGAGACTCAAGAAAAGTTATACAATGATGCAAATCAGCAATTAAATATGACATTTGAAGCGTTTAAGGTAAAGGAAAACCAAGACAATATGTTTAAAATAATGCTTAAAAACTTTTGGCACAACGCATACAAAAAACATGAACCAACAAGAACGCAAGCAACACAAACACTGAAAAACCAACGCGACGCAATGGTGTCAGCCTTTACTACAATGCTTGACAACAACAAACCGCCAGAACCACCGCCAAAGAAACCACCAGACGAGGAGGACAGCGATGAAGAAGAAAAAGATTCAAACTGACAAAAATGATAGAAATAATGCTACACAACGGCGCTACAGTAGCAGATATAATATTAAACTTATCACATAGCGCAATTGCAACAACAATAAATATCGCAGATTTAGTTAATCAAATAACAGCAGGAAATGCACAAGGTAGCAGTAGCAATTCATCAAATGAAGCTATTAGTGTTCATAGTTCGCCACCTATTACTGTTCATAGTTCTTCATCTGAAAGTCCAACAGAAATACCAGCACCAACTGAAGACGAAGAAGAAGAAGACGGAGAAGAAAAACAAAAATATAGTTTTGAAAAATTAAAATCTAAAAAATATTATATATAATGGGTTCAAGTAAATCAAAACCAGTAGAAATTGATGATGAAGAGGCTATTAAAGTAATAAAAGATATAGATGTAAATACGATAAGTGAAATGTCAAGAATTGATATTCTACAAATAAATTCATTGAAAGCAATAATAAATAAATTAGAAAAAGTTAATGAATGTAAAAAAGATAAAACATATTATAAATTTCCTGCCTTAAATTTATGTAGCTATTCTTTATTCTAAATTGATAATATTAACATATATTAATATTATTAATTACTATCATAATCTGTCGTTTCACTTTCGGGTAATTTTGTTGAGGCGTTGCTACACATATCATCTATTAAATCTTCTTCATCAACAAAATTATATTGAAATCTTAATAATTCCTCGTCTGTTGGTCGTCTTTTTAACACTTTATAAAGTTTATGTATCCAAGAATTAGTATGAAAATTGTAATTACCTCTACGATAAAATCCACCACATCTACATAGTTTCATTAGCATATTATTATATTATATTAAATTAGAATATCTTTATTCATCATTTGTAATTTAAAATGCCTGTTCAAAACGGAGAAAAAACATGTCATTCACATTCTTAGCATTCATATTCACGTAGAAGAAACTATAAGGTGCGTCATTCACTGCTTGATGATACATATCTAATAATTGCTGTTTGTCAACAATGGCGCTATTTTCTTCAATAAAACTCATTAATTCACTGGCATTTTTCAACCTAAAAATATATAATGAACTGGCATTTAAACGAATGATAGGCGCCAACACATTATATTTCTGTGTTGAACAAATTACGCTTACTGCATCGTGCCTACCTCTTGTAAATAATCCATGTAATAATTTACTATATCTAACAAATTTAGGATCGTCGGCGTGATCGTCTATAACGATTAATATTGAATGTAGTTTCTTTATCTTTTTAGATTTCATATAATTAATTATTTTCTTCTGTCTTTCAATTACATTTTCTAAATCACTTGGATTATAATTATCAAAATAAATTTGTTCTTTTTCATCATCCACGTGCAATTCATCCCTGATATATTTTTTAACTTCTGTAAAGGTTGGGTCATTATGAACGCTGGGGGAAAATATAAATATTCTTGCAAATGAATTTCTATAAACATTTAAGATAAGGTTCTGAACCAAGACTGTTTTGCCACCTGTCGAACTCGCAACTATAATACTTCTAAATGGTAATTTTGGCACGTGCTCATATTTAGATTGTTTGAATTCATATTCAGTTATGTTTATTGGTTTTATTATTGGAACATCTGACATAATAAAATAATATTAAAGTTATTTAGAAAATATTTTATATTTAATATTTTATATGAATAGAAGCTATTCGGATTATATTGATATAATAGATGAAGTAGAGAATTTAGAACAAGTTGTTATAACTGATAATAGATGCAAGAAAGTATGCTATTTTGCTTTAGAAATAATTAAGTTTGTGATACAAAATATCAAAAATAAAAATGTAAATATTAATATAAATGGGAAGAAAGAAAAAGATTAAGACTGAACCAGTTGTTTCTTCAACTGACGAAGAAAAAGAAGAAATTGTTAAAGAAACATCAGTTATTGAGTTTGCTTGTCCAATGTGTAAAAAGATGTTAGAAATGAAAAATGAATTAGAAATTCAAAAGAAAGGAAATTGTAAATGTTCGTGTATTCCGACAAGTTTCAAACTAAGTAAGAATGATAAGAAAATGAAAATTGATAAAACTAAAGACAGTATCAACTTAGAAACAGATGTTCATAATATTGCTATACGCTTTGGGAGGGGAGTTACTCCATCCGATAATGGCGATAAGGAAACTCAGGAAACTATACGCGAAATGATGAAAAAATAATAGTTAAAATTATTTTTATTATTATTTATAATGCAAGATGTTATAAATAATATTATTAAATTCATTGATGTAAAGGAATTGAAATTAAATATTTTTATTGAAGAATATAACGAAAATGATATATTAATTAATTTTGTTAATGACTTTAGAAATAGTAAAATTGATTTTAACATGTTTTATAATTCTATTAATTATGCTGATTTATTTGAACAATCAGATTTAAAATTTTATTGTAAAAGAATATATTCATATACTTTAAGATTTATTGCTAATTATGATAATAAAAATGCTATTCAGTTTTATGAAATTACATTGAGAAACATGAATAATATTTACAGAAATAGTAACATTAATGTTGTTAATGTGTTTGAATGTATTAAATGTTTAATAATTTATATCACAGATAATATTGAAAAGTTTCATAAATATTCAAAATTTAGAAAACCTATTATTTGTAATTTAATTGGTAAATTGAATAATAATTTAACGAGTTACACAATAACTAATTTTGAACTGACTTATAATGATATATGATTTTGTAAAATAAACATTTAGTTTTAAAAGTTTTATTTTATAATATAATATATATATATATGGATGAAGGATTAGAAAAGATTGTTAAAAAACTGAACAAGGTTTTAGAACAGAACAAGAATATTTTAGAAATCTTACAAGAAATGGAAAAGAAGAAACCGTTAACAAACAGTTCTCAAAGTAAAGAAGTAGATCGAACCAATGGTGAATATAAAAATAAAAGAAATATTTATTTAAACAAACTTAATAACAAAGAAATTAAAGAACCGAAGTCTTCCACTATGACATTTTATCAAATTGACTATGATGAAGATACAGGGATTTATTCTTGATTGAAAACATTTTTCTCTGAAAATCCGTTTAAAGACATATTGGCATAACTAATATTATGAGTTCTACAGATGACGAAGAAGAAACAGGATGCACAATGGTTTATCATTGCAGTAAATGCGACGAAGCAACGCCAAGAAAGGATTTTCACAAAATGTATGATAGAATTAAAATGGAAGAGATATTTTACAAATCATGTAAGGAATGCAGAGACAAAGTAAAAGCAACAAAAGAGTTAAGGAAGGAACAGAAGAAACGAATACAACCCATGGAAATACATAGATTAAAGCCTTTAATACCATAGCTTTACTATACTTATAACATGTAAACATTTATATGTTATAATTATAGTTTAATTTTCCCGTATAAGCCGTGGGGGTGCTTTCCTACATAGGCCTTTCCCATCCGCATATTGCCATCCAATGTCACACAGATTATTTTCAAGATTTGGGTTAACGGTTTTAATTCTCCCTTTTCCATTGGTTAACCATTTTCCGGGGCGAACATAGGGTTCTTTTTTAGACTGTTCGTATTTGTTGGAAATGGGAAAGGGTTGCAGTTTGGATCAAGGGAGAAATTATTGAGATCTTGGGGTTGCGATCTTGGGAATGGAAAAATGTTGGTATGTAGCTTGGATTTTGTTGGTGGGATTTGTTGAGGTGGTATGTAGTTATGATTGTTGTTATTGAATGAGCATAGGGGTGATGTTGAGATGGGGTAAGAAATGAAGATGGGTATATGAATATGTGTTTTTTGGTGTTGGATTGGTTGGGTGATTGAATTTGAATGTTGAAAATAGGTTGTTTTAGTGGGCGTATTCAGAATGTGCCCAAAAGTGTGGGGGGGACCCTAGGACCGGATGGCAAAATGCGGACGGGAAAGGTCAGCTCTAACTGAGGGGGGGGGGGGGGCGAGAAAAAAACGGGGCCGACATTAGACAGCCAAAAGGCTAAGGTGTTGACTCGCCTTCACAATGAGGCCTTCACTTCACTGGGCCCTGCATCCCGGCACAAAAATTCCGTTGGAGCGCTTCCAAAGACCTGAAAAAGGGCCTTGCAAGAGTTGGGCTGCCCGAAGTCCATGTTTCCATTTACCAGGGTTCGAAGTTGGGGTTACCCTATTTTTGACCCACACCCAAAGAAACTGACCCCCCCCCTTCCCCCCAAAAAAAACGCCAAGCAACCACTCGCAGCCTCCGGCCCGGCCTCATGGCCATCCTTGTCCCAGGCCCACGCCACAGCCTTGGCGAAAAGAACCCGCGCCCTGGAGCCCGGGTTAGAGGTTTTTCTTTAACAGATCCTACCTGAGTGGCCCCCCCTCTACTTGTCTATGGGCAAAGGAATAGGATGGGGGGCAACTCCCTGTTTCTTCTCGTTTTCTTTTTGTTAGCAACTCCCTGACAACGGAAACCACAAGGGCGTTGTCAAAACGAGTGGTTCAACATGCTTTATGCTGGGGTCTGGCCCAACATAGCCGGGGGGTGTGGTCGGCCAGGTGGTGTAAAGCGGCCAGAGCATCGGAGCCATTCCGCCCGATTTGCCGTATCCGAGGAGCAAGTGAGAAGCTTCCTCCATGACTCGGTTGCTTTCTGCTCCCCTTCTAAACATTTAACTTTTAATGGTTTAATGGAAAACCCATCAGTTGGCAAAAAGTCAAAGTCCTAACATCCAAGCAAAATGCACCTCTGATGAATTTGGATGAGTTGTAAGAAGCTGCCATCCCACCACATGAAAGCAACCTTCATATGAGTGATGTTGCGAGCGCAAGCTCTCGCCAGAAGTTCCCACTACACCCATTCAACCAACCCCCACTTGCTATGAATTCGCCGAACATGTGGCGTTTTGGGTGGTTGGGTTTTAAAGGGAGACCCAGGAAACAAAAGGGAAAAGAGAAGGACAACCCCCTCCCCAACTCTCTCAAGCAATCCAGCAGCTTCTTTGCGGCTGCCACAGTTCTTCCTCTCAAACATGATACGCTAGACTGTGTTCCAGATTTCACAAACATCTTCAAATGGAGCATCATTTCCAAAGGGGACCCCTAAACTGGCTTCCCGAAAAAAAAATCCTGCAAAGCACCCATAGGAAGTCCTTTCGGACCCTCTGCTTGGAAGGCAGAGAGTAACCTTAGACGGCTCTTTAGCAGTTTCCCTGGTTTATCCAACAACGATCTTATGCATTTGCTATGAATATCACACTTGGCACCCGAAAAAAAATGGGGCATCCATCAAGGCGTCACCGGAACCTGCGCTGGAAGGTTCCGCAGTCTTGGGCAGCACTAATTATTGCGCGCCCGGCAACCGCAAGCCGAACAAATGCACCTGACTACATTTATACACACACACACACACGCCCCACTTTAATATATATATATATGTCTATGGCACACACGCCCCACTGTTGATACGAATCGATATATGCTGTGGTAGCTTCCAAGCATGGGATGCATCGCTTGCAAGCAAGTCTTATCTTGCAACACTACAGTGCGTTAAGACCTGGAAGCACCAGGCGTGAAGTTTTGAGGATCCAGAGCCTTGAGCTTCCGAGTGAGGCCGAAACGAGTGGCTGCCTAGGGGAACCAAGGTCCAGGTTGAATCCAGTGAGGGCCGCTGACATTGATGTAAGACACCGGGTTCAAGATCAGAGTTGTAGAAGCTGGAATCCGAGTTTGGGACTGTGACAATCTAGAACCCATCTAGGATTCAAGATCCAAGATGCAAGTGGTACTAGCTCCAAGGAAGTCGTCACCATATATTAAATTGTCTCTAATTGGTGGGGGTGAACCCCAAGGTGGGTAGATCCCTTTGGGTTGTCCTTTAGAGAAAGAAAAAAAAATACTGGGTCCTCCAGTAGAGAGGTTAGAATAAGGGTACCCGATTCTTTTCTGTAGTCTATTTTAGTAGGGGGAACCCTCCCAACCAAAAAAGAAACGGTAAAAGGGCACCTGGCTGGGGGACCTAGAATAAGTACCCAACACCCACATCCCACCACCATCTTTTCTCAGACTCGTCACCTTCAGGCTTGAGGCGCCGGGCGAGCAGGTGCAGCAGCAAGCGCATCGGCATAAGGTTTGGGTCTCTCAGAGAGACCCCCTACCTTCCTTGCTGGTGCTCAGACCAGGCCCGGGTGTTGGTGTTGAGTGAACCGGTGTTGGGGATTCCCGAAAAAAGGGAACCATAGGGGGATAGAATTTACAGGGGGTCATTCCAACTCGTTCCCTGCTGAGAAAACAGTAAGCTTCACTTGATGGCGAAATGATTACAAGGGATGTCACCTAATTGTTCTGTTGTGATTCACCATCATTTCGGTGGTTTGAATCACCCAACGGTCTATGATTTTTTTTGGAATTGCCAGCCCCTCTGCTCTGAAAAGTGTAGGTTCTTCTCCATGAGTCTGGGAGCCACGCTGTGCATGCCACGTGCAACTTGGGCTGTCTGAGTGACCAATGACCAATTTCATGCGACGTGTTCCCAAAGCAGGGCACCGAGATCGCCAAACTGGGCATGCCTTTTTGGGGCCCGACCCTTGGTAAACAAAATTCGGTGAAGAACTTGCCTGGATCGCCAGTCGCTGCTTTTGCCTCGCAACTGTGGCTGCTTTGAGGGTAAAGTGTCTGGAAAACAGCAAGCCACTTGGCGATCCAGTTGTCCACTTTTCAGGTTCCAAGTCTTGACATTCATAGCCACACCAATCACTCCCGTCAGAAGCAAGGACTTGGGTCCAGAAAGTGATCTGACGGCTGGTTTTCTTTGGGCTTCGCTTATCCAAAAGGGCATGCCTTTTGCATCAGCGACAAACGGAAGGCCATCTGCCGAGCTTTAAAGTGTTAGTCCAGAGCTTAGAACTTGAAGTGATAGGCGCCCGAATTACATTCCCTGCATCACAAGAAGACTCATGTTCAATTGGATTAACCCGCACGGGCTCGAGATGTCTTGGGGGGGATCGAGATGGTTTGGTTTGGGACCCTGGAAGTCCAATTGGCTGAAAGGTGATGTTTCACCCGCAAGGGATTCAGATGTTTTGGGGGGGACGTGGAAGCCTCACTTCCTTCCTGAGCGGGTTGGCCAAAAAAGTCTCAGGAACTTGTTGCTTACCATTATGATGAGCAAACCTAGGCAAACACTGCAAACCTAGGTGTACTTTTTATGTAATTTTAATTGTTCGGACATTCATAGAACTTTGGCCGATTGCCCATCAAAAGCTTACCACTAAAATGGGTCCAAACCCAAAAAATGACTACTGTCCATAAACTCAGGGAGTGAGAAGTGAGTTCTTCCAAACCCTCGGCCGCAGTTTGTGGCGACCTTTTCTGCTTTCGGCTCTGTGTTCTGTTTCGCCTGGCGACGCTAGAAGCTGGGAATCCCGGGTAAGCAGTGTCCGGTTGCCACCACTAGGGGATAAGTAAAGCGCGGGGAAGGGGGGGGTTGCTTTTGGGACAGGCCCCTGGGTTTAATGCCATGCGGGGGCAACCAATAGAAACCTTAAGCTGTCATGGGGAGAACCTCCAAGAAAGGTCACAGAATCAAAAGTAATTTTGAGAACCCTTCACAATGTTCACTTGAAGGGACCTAGGGCTATGTTCACAAAAGACACCCTTTGAAAAAGCAAGCTGGAGCATAACGAATGTTCAGGACAAGATGGTACAGGCGTAGTACACAAGAACAACTTGGCAACTCCCGCTGGCACGCTCCACGACATTTGCAAAACATTAGAGCATCTTGCACCAATGCACTGCCAAGAACAGCAAACATATTGCCCCAGGTTCGCTCTTGGTTGACGTCGGAAGGGGAGCAAACATTTAAATTTTAGCGGTTCAGTGGGGATTTCTCACTCAACCACAATAAGCAAAAATGTAAAATGTGTCCCAACAAACCATGGCATCACAAGAAAAAAGAGCATGTTCCATTGGCTGAAAGGTGATGTTCAACCCGCAAGGGAACCGATATGTTTTGGGGACCCTGGAAGTCTCACTAAACACTTTTCCAGTAAAAGGCTAAAATGCTAAGGAGCCGGATGGCTGGGAGCCAAGAAAATCTTGCAGGTTCGCTTCTGCCTCCTATTGACCCCTTCGCAGTCTCGCGAAGGTTTCTTGGAGATGCGGTGAGGCTAAGCCCCGCCAACTCAAATGATTCTCAGGGGAGTGAGGGGTCACAGGGACCTGGCTTCATTTCATAGGGGGAAGTTGCGACATGCAGAACCTGGGACTTTGGCTACATGGCCATGGGTTGCATAACCTATGGCGAGCCATTTTGGGGTGGATCAACATCCATTTGCCACCTATTTTGATGTTCACCAGGGGTACAGGGTTTTGACCCACAGCCACATGTCTGATGCCCCACTTTTCCAACAGTTGGCAGAGGGACCTCTTACCGAACGAATGGACGGCGGCTAAGGCCGAAAAGCCAAAGTCGTTCGACCCAGGTCCCAGAAAAGGACGCAGGGGGGGCTGCGGTGGCTGGCTGGCTGGCTTGGCTTGGCTTGGCTTGGCTTGGCTTGGCTTGGCTTGGCTGGCTGGCTTGGCTTGGCTTGGCTTGGCTTGGCTTGGCTTGGCTTGGCTGGCTGGCTTGGCTGCTTGGCTGCTTGGCTGGTTGGCTGGTTGGCTGGTTGGCTGGTTGGCTGGTTGGCTGGTTGGCTGGTTGGCTGGTTGGCTGGTTGGCTGGTTGGCTGGCTGGCTGGCTGGCTGGCTGGCTGGCTGGCTGGCTGGCTGGCTGGCTGGCTGGCTGGCTGGTTGGTTGGTTGGTTGGTTGGTTGGTTGGTTGGTTGGTTGGTTGGTTGGTTGGTTGGTTGGTTGGTTGGTTGGTTGGTTGGTGGGTTGTGGGCATTCGCTGAAGGTTCCAAAGGAGGTGGAAGATGCGGAATGGACATCCCCCAACAACCCTCACAAGAAACCAGGAAGTGTACAGGCCAACAAGGGTGAATGGGCCACCCAACCATCGCTTCAAGCATTCTTCACCAGTTGTTGAAACATCCCTCAGGTTTCCCTTGCAGCGAGAACGGCTCTGGAAGTCATTGGGAGAGTTGTCGCAGCCCACTTCCACTTGAGCAGGGCCCAAAACCCAACGTTGGCTCTAACCTGCTTGAAAAAAACGAAGGTGGTAGAACCACCTACTCCAGACATTCGCAAGCGAGATCGAAGCCCCCGCGAAGAGGGACCCCGACCCCGGGTAGAACCACCTCCTAAAATGGCCCGCTGCGAAAAAATTGGGTTGTCAAAAGCATGGGACCCAAAGGGCCATTGGCCTTTTTGTCACAGCTTCAGTGGCAAGGGGCGCAAATTCTAGAAATGGATTGAGGCAAAAGAAGACCGCCAAAGGGCAAAAGGAATCAACCTCAATTGGGGGAACGGGGTTTTCTTAAACTTTTGCCCCTTCTTGGCCATCAAGAGTATCTCCAAAAAGTCATATGTTCAGATTCTGCCTCATAGTTTTCGTCTACCTCAAGAATATCAAATCGTTTTGGACACTTTGCCTCCCGAGCCCATCCCTCCATTGCCTCTCCTCTCTGACCTGGGCATAAACTTGCAAGACACAACCTGTCAGGCCCAGTGGCAGGCCTGGGTGTCGTTTGAGGTGCGGCACCCCCTTTTTTGAAACCCAAAGGAAAACCGAAGCTAACCTGAAGGAATCGCAGTGTACTCAGTGACAGGTTCGTGGAATTGCACGGTCGATGTTGACAGATTCGTGGCTTCATCCGAATTCGCCAAGTGGCAGGCTGTCAAAGATGCCGAATCATGTTGACCCCATATTAATCACCCCCAGTTTATTCGTAGGGGGGTGTCCATTTCTGGGTGACTTGCCACTTTGGGAGCAAGCCTTCTGCTCGCACGCTGCACAGGGCTATCATGTCTCTTGACTCTCGACGTGCCAGGAACTCCCCGTCACGCCGGTGTCCCTAGCACTCCCCAGGCATGAGGATACCTGGCACGCAAAGCAAGTCCTGAAACCTGCCCACGTTTTTGCTTGGTTTGAAGAGCAAAGACTTGCTGGAAACAGCCGTAGCTCGGTCCAACAAACCAAATCAAACCAAGGACCAAGGCCCTACGCAAAACGTCCGAAGCAATGTACCGCGGTGAAGTGCTTCCTTTCACACACCATCTTCCACCAATCCTCAAAAAAATACTGCGTTTGTTCCATCGATCCTTCCAGCATCAATAGCATCACTAGCATCACCAGCATCACCGGCACCGCTTGCACACCAGTATCAGCTGTAGAGCCCCCCTTCAATCGGCCCTTCAGTTGGTCAAATGGAAACCCAACGACTAAACCAACTAAAAAGCTAAAAAGCTAAGGAAAGGCTGGCCACCGAGTCAATTAGGTCAACCATTCCTTGGGGACCCATTGACCACCTGAACTCCTCGATCAACCCGCTCCCGCTCAGCCCAGAACGCTTCTTCGGTGCCTCAAGACATGGAGCATTCCAAATGAGTTCTTTTAACAAAGGCGCCAGTGGACCATGAAACGCATTTCCAATTCGGAAGCTACGCAGAATACCTGCCCCGGTTCTGGTGTCATTCCTGGTTTCTCCGCATGTTTCAGAAATCATCGAAACTGGCGTTCCCGAATTCCCCCCTTCCCCCAATGCTTGATCTCCAAAATAGGTCCACCAGCGGCATTCACCACCCAGCCAGGTCCAATTTCACCCTCCACTTTGCAGGGCCTTTTCCATCTCTCGCTGGCGGGTTTTGCTGTGCTCTTGTCGCGAGCTCTCGAAAATCTCAAGCCGCCTTCCTCAACCCCCGGAGGCTCGTTGCTCGCGGGAGAGTATGGATTGAAAGTCTATAAGGCGCAAAACTGGAACGGCTCAAAATCTGGAAGTCCCTTTGGCTCGGACAAATGTGCCAAACCCCCTTTTGGTTGTGGCTTTGCCCGGTACATGTGGGGTTGTCTCTAAATAGGGCAACCCCAAAAAGGGTATCCTCAAAAAAAGACATACCCTCCCACTTAACATGGAACCTGACTCACCCAGTGTCCTGGTTTGGACTACCCATGTTGCGTCTCCCCATTTTGAGCGCGGAATTCGACACCCCTCGCTCAGAAGAATCCGAAACGCTTGGTTTCCTGGACGCCCAGCCTCGTGGAAGCGACGCAAAAAAAGAAAGAGGGGAGGTTGGAACATGTTGTGACTGCCCCCATGTCCCTCCCAAATGGACCATATACATATATATATATATGCGCATATATATATATATATTACAGTATATGAGCCGGTGAATATTAAGCCCGGACATGTTTAGCCCGTGGATATTACTGTATACTGCCTGTCCAGCATATAATGCACTGGATATTTTGACTGAGAAAGGTCTTCCACAGAAGACGTCTTTCACTCCGTGCTCGAAATCCCAGCCTGGCAAATTCGCTTGAAGGGCAATCCCAGACTGGGTGTGACTTCACCAGGCCAGTGTCGTAAGGGTGTGTTCCTGAGGCTCGGTACCCTTTTCAGGTTGATTTACAAGGACGACCCAAGCTGTCCTGTTGACGGAGCCTCACCGTTCACCTCTACGCGTGCAAGGGACGTGACCTCGAAATCAATGAAGCTCCATGAATTAGCCCGGGAAAAGAGGAGGACCTTCCCGCCAACCGTCATGGACTGGCAGGAGGCTTTTTGGAAGACTACTTTGCTTTGTGAAAAGCCCGCCGTCCACGTCCATGATTCTTGCAAGGGTACCGTAGTTTCTCGAGCCCCTCAATCGCAACCAGGAACATTGTGGGAAATAGCCCTTCCTGCGCGAAGTGGGATTCCCATCCCATGACTGCAATTGGGATATCCTCACCACAAAACGACCTAAACCACATTTGCTCCAGGGAATCGTCTTCACCACACTGTTCAACCCACTTGGGTAAAAACCTGTGGTATATTAAACCATCAGGGGTTGTGAACTCGCCCACATCCCAAGAACATCCCAAGAACCACCCACCCCGCCCAAAAAGAAACAATTATACATGTATACTGTATAATATATATATATATAACAAAACACACAGACACACTTTAAAACCCAAAAAAAACATCTCTTTTCTTCAACAAAAAGAAGAACAACAGAGCAAAAACATATCACTGGTTGGCTCTGTTTCTGCTCCGGACTTCCTTTGAGGCAACACCAAAGCCTGGCACCCCGCCAAGGCATTGACACCCCCAACCCCTTGTGCACCAAGCCCCGACAAAAAACTGCTGGGTCCATAGGTGTCCTTTTAGTGCAAATAGATCGCCCTGGTAGAGGATTAAACCACCAGGTAAACCAGGGCCCTCTATTTTTCAACCAAAACAACTAAAAAGGACACCTATGGCTGGGTCGTTGCTTCCCCTTGAGGTGTCCCACTATGAAAAAAAAGCCCTGATATGTGTCCCTTCTATTTTGTTGTCCCACAAAAAAACCAAACGTCCACACATTGGGGTGAAAACCCCAAACGTCGGAAATTCGCGCGTCGCTTTTTTATGGGGCGCGGTTTTTGAAAAACTTGCGCGTCTGGGGGGCGAGAAGAGCTTGCCGACCACCTGCGCAAAGTCCTTCTGGAACTTTGCGTCGTCCTGCGGGTGCGATGGTTCGTTGGCGCTGGCAGGGTCCAACATGGCTTCCGTTTGGTTAAGACCCCTGGGAAAAAAAAGTAGTGATAAATTCCTTTTAAAACCAACAGGGGAAAAGAAAAAACTATTCTTAAGCAAATGGAAGATGGTCTTTTTGTTGAGGGTTCTCATTTTGGTACCCGCCAAACGGGTACCTTGGGCTAAACCAAAGGGATGGCTGAAATTAGGGTCCCTCTTGGGAGACAAACCCAGGCTTAAACCACAGCTGTTGACAGCTCCCGTGGGGTTTTCTTGGGGACCAGGGTCTAGTTGGCTAAGCTTGCGCCCTGAAACCCTGGAGGGGTTCACGACAAAGTGAAACCGGTTTCCAGGTGGCGTTCTTTCAACAACCTCAAACACCGGGTACCATCCACACAGAAAAACACACCCCATGGACACGACGGAGCTGCTGGTTTGTCAGGGCTTGGTGCCACGAACCTAAGCCAAATGTTCCGGGCGTGGTTTCAAGCGCCCTCAAGCAACATGCCCCCGAATGCCTTGGTCCCCGATTGCCCGAATGGGTGGGTGGAAAACACCCGCAGCGGCGGATCGAGCTCAAATCGATGCAAAAGGTCCAACCCGGCGAGTCCAGTCAGATGTGTACATGTTTACGTGTGGCTCACAGCAGTGAACGCGCTAATCAGGCGAGGCTACAAGCAAGGTTCAGTATTGTATATGCCTGGGATACACTGGGAACCATAAAAGTTCCGGAAATGTATGCGAAGTTTCAATAGGGGGCCCTCTGTATTCGGTGGGGGTTCATGTCCACCAACCACTTTAAAGGTTGCTCCAATGCCAATGCCAGGTTTGATTTTTTACGCAGTTGCGACCCGTAGTAGCAAAAGGGAACCCTTTCCTGGTGTGCATTCTCTGTGGAGAACCGAACAAGGGAAAACGCGGCCGCATCAATTCTCCCAGAGAAAACGCTGCAGCCCGCTTCCTCCAAACTACAAAGCTCACCGCCCAAAACATGAGCGTCTGCGGATTTCTGCACACTGCACCCACTGGAACCTCAAGTTGAGGCATAATCAAACTGGTCTACCCAGAAACATGCCAAGAATTGAGAAGGCGGCCGACACCCATTTGTGGCTGGGGTTGTCCCTTGCTCTTTGTCTACCCGGGTTTTGATCGTGGCTCGGTTGAAAATTATTTCTTTTGAAGCCTTTGGATCTAAGCCAGCCAGAATAAATATGGTCGGGCATCCGTTCATTCTCCACCATTCCGTTCTCGCAAACTCAAGCGATGGATCGCAAACTGGCCCATCGCTCTCTGCTGGTTTGCTGGTTGATTCACAAGCCTGTGAATGAGGAGTCAAGGGGCCTGTCGCTTCCCCGCTTCGGTAAACTTGCTGGTTCTCAAGGAATGCGGGGATGACCCCTAGGAACCCTCCTTGTGTCTTCCTTTCAGAGGATAACGGTTCATTCCCCGTGGGGCGATTCCCCAACCGGCAAAAGGGAACCGAGAGGATGATTCTCATTGTAAAATCTTCCAAAACCCAACAAGAATTGGATCAAGTTGTTCGAACCATGAGATGTCGGGATACTTCCAAGTTCTTCCAAAACCCCACAAGAATTGGATCAAGCTATAAGCACCAAGTGTTTTCCCATCTGGGATCTTCCACCCCCGTCTTCGCTCGTCACAAAATGGCGACTCCTTAGCATAAAGCTCCACGTACTTGCGGAAGGCCTTGTCCTGAGGGCGAGCCCGGGGTTACATTACACCGGGAAGCCAACGTGCGACAGGACAAAGGGGGAACCCGCCAAAAGGTTCGGAAAATTTAAGTTTGAGAACTCCCGAACTGTGGGAGAAGTCCCGAACCTGTGAACCACCAACCAAAAATGTGCTTTAAGTTGGAGAGCCCGCGGAAGTGTTGCAACCTCCAACTCTTGGGGCCCAGATATTTTTGAGCTTGTTGTTTGCTTTGATTCGGGCGATGCTCCCTGGCGGCGACTTGATGGCCCTGCGCTTGCGGGCGGCCCCTTCAGACTCGGCGCGCAAGGCAATGGTGTGTCCAGCAAACCGGAAACACATCGGCTGGGGTACTCTTCCTGATGAAGAGGTCGATCACCGTTTGGAGGTTCCATGGAAAAGCCGTTTGTGTCCGAAAGGCCCAAGATGGTCTAAGGGGTAAAGGTCACCATGGGAGCCCCATTTCAAGGCCCGGGCAAGCCTTGCTCCAAAGGTGACCTGCGGAAAGACGTGCACCAGAGATCACCCAGCCGTGCATGCTACCACCGGCGACCTACCCACAAGAGGCTCTTGCATGTTCGGCAACCAAGTGAGCTGATGTTGTGTCGCACTGAACCTTCCCAGCCCAAAAAAGTGGGCATTCAAAATGGTGCGAATTGGCATTGCCTTTCCCAAAAAAAACATCAAACCAAAAGGGTTTGGCTGGTTACGCGCCCCCAAATGACCTAGGGCTGTCACGGGTGCCATTCTGGGCCCTTCATAAGGTTCGGCACGTGCTGGCTGTCGGGCAACACTTCGCAGTGCCATGGTCCAAAATCAGTCCCTTTGCCTTTACAGGGATCCTTACATTATACACCTGAACATTGCAACTTGTAAATGGTGGTTTCCCTTAATTTTGGTGGAAAAAACAACATGTTTCAAATGGTTGCAAAATGCATCTTTTAAAGGGCCCTGCTTTAGCTTGGTCTAAGCACAAACTTATCTTCACAGAGATAGATGGTCCAGGCTTTGGTTCACCCGACCATATGCTGAACCCATTTCAAGACCTTCAATGTGCCTTTGTCGCCCCCTGAAAAAAAGCAATGTCAAGCGGTGAAGTCGATTCCAACTCGTTTTCCAACAGGGGGAAATAAGCAAATACTCTTAACCAAGTGGAAGGAATCTCTATGGAATATATGTATATATATATATATTTATATTCAAGTTGACTCATTGTTCAATGAATATTCATCTCAGCACATAGCGAGACGGGGGGGGTTGGTTCACATGCTGAACCCATGTGCCCTTCGAAGGTCTCCTGGATCAGCACAATGTCCGAGGGCAGCATCATGAGATCCCCTGGCAAAGGCTGGGGGAGGCGCCAAAACAAATCCGAGTGGTCCTCCAGATTTGAGAGGCTAGAATCAGTTGGTACCCGTTTCTATTTTATTTTTCGGTTCTGTCTATTCTAGTAGTTTGGAACCCTCCCAACCAAACAAGAATCGGGTGAGAGGTCGGGCACCAATTGCTGGACCAAGAATCGCT